TTCAGAATTATCTCACAGTATGTAGGACTATCATAAAATGAGTCACTGCTATCCTTACCCTGTGAATTTTGGAAGAATTCACCTTTCCTTCTGAGCAGGCACATATATCCAGAGGACTGAAAAATGGCTTTCCTTCTACTTAAGGAAGTTATCTTTCACTCAAATGAGTCATCTCTTTTACATTTAGTTTATTGCCCAAGGTAAGTTTGATAGATGTGATACTTTCAATATAAGCTTTCCAGCTGAGGAGCACCAAGATTTTAAAGTCACATTTCCTTCTCTGAGTGAGAGGTAAGCTAGGTGCAATATCTGAACAATATAATGACAGGGAAAGTCTCATTTGTGGCATCAAGCTGTGAACACAACACTCATGTTGCCATAATCAAACCTTGTTGGTCCCTGTTCTGAAATTAATGTTTACATCCGTTGTGGGAACATATTCCAATCACCTGTTATTACTCTATGATTCTGTGATTGTTCACATTGCATTGTACAATCTTTTTAATGAATATATTGCACAGTTGGGGTTTTTTTGGTCCCAGTTTCTCATTGAAAATCTCTTCCTGGACTTCCTTGCTCTTATAGCTAAGAAAGTACTTCTAATTCCTCTAGTAAACATGTATAAGTCAATTTATTTATATTTGTTCTTTCATCAGCTTTAGACTTCAGCTTAATGAGTGGGAGCTGAGAACACTTTCAGAAGCTGATACTTTTTGAAAGACCTTATAAATGTATAATTCCAAAGCTCTCCAGTTTTCTTCATGGAGAAATTGTGTTTCCTGCTGCCCAGCAACAGAAATAGTTTGACACCCACAAATTGTTTAAAGCAATTCTTCAGTTTTAGGAGATTGTTGCAATTCATCTTTTGTGACTTGAAATATCTAGTTAGTATCCAGTAGAAGATATTAAAGAGGAAAATAACAGGGCAAAAAATAATTAAATGGTTTGCTGTGATTAGAATTACTGAGGCTTAGTTTTTTTGTAGATAAGAAAACAGTATCCTTCATTCCACGTAACTCTTGAAATAATAACTTTTTGTATGATTTTGTGCTAATTATTTCTTTGACCTTTGACCTGTGTTTGCTTGGCTATTGGGGTTTCTTCATTTTTTCTTTTACTGCTAACAAGCAGAATATACTAAAATGTCTTTCCTAAAGTTGTCCTAATTATTGGCATGTCTTTGTTCTGGTAGCACTAAGCCTTTTGCTAAGGGATTCCTGTCAGAATCTGAAGAGTTGAATAAGAAAAGTTGTCCCTTCATCTTCAGACAGTTTTGAATGAAATGTCCAAGTTTCCACTCTCAGGAGTCAAGTCCTGTCGCTGAGTTGAATGGTAACAAAACTTAACAATTTGAAGAACAGTATAATTGTTAGGCCGCATACCAAGAAACTAAGTGCTAGGTAGTAATTGCCTGAGTAGCATCTGAATAACAAATATGAATATTCCAGAAAATAAGCGTTGTACCAAGTACTTTACATTTTGTTCTGGCTGTGAGATAACAGTTGTTTAATATGAATTCTGAAGACTGGTTAAAAGCAAAACTTCTGTAATGATAAGATTGCAGGGTTAGTCCCAGCTTTGGTGATCATGGCCTGCCTCCAGCATGAAACTATCTACAGTTTCTTCCTTAGAAAACATAGTTACCTTGGGGCCAATTTTGTATGGAATGCATGAGATCAGTTTGAGGTACATTGGCTACATATGCACATATGTTTATGTCTGCATATTACAATCCTGTGTTATTACTTTGGCATTGCTTTGAATACAAACCTACATTTATTTCTGGTGATTTTACTATGTTTTTATTATTTAATTACTCTTGTAGTGAATGCTTCTCAAAATACTGCTGTGATACGGATATGACTGGTAGTTTCCAGGCATTAAACACTTGCCAGTATAATCTTCAAGATATTGATTATCAATTCAGATAACAGAATAATGCTCAGCACAGATAACTACTGTATAACAACAACAAAAAACCCTTATGCATAACATGTTTGCATCTCAACTGATACTGGAGTTTTAGTCTTATAAAATTTTCTTCTTTCTGTCTTCATTCTGATATTTATTATCTTCCCATATATAGATTCTTTTTCTCTCATGCTGTTTCCTGATTTTAGTATTCTGTCACGTAGCTGGACTTTTTCACATTCGGAGCTGTGCTCTGTCACAGGATATTAGCAGTCTGTGGTGTTAAGCATCACTAGATCTAGCTGCTTTGTGACTGGGGAAGGGGACAGGAAGAGGAGAAAACATGAGCCAGTGTCCATTCAACCACTGCACTTTCAATCAGTTACCCTGTTAATTATACATCTGATGATCTTTGTCTCCAAATTCAGCTTGAACACATCTCTCCCCTCAGGTTTGCTGTTAGACTGCAAGTGGGGACTTCAGCAGCACTTTTTAGGACTTCTGTAGTTGGCTCTTTCCATGCTATTTGGCAAGACTTTGACCAAGAAGCTGCCTTTCTTTGAGCCCTGAGGTTGGTAGCTATCTGTCATGTATTTCAGGTGAGAGATCTTCATTGCTTGTTGGCCAGTGTTTTCCCTGTCTGACCCTGTCTCTCACCTTGACATCTGTTCATTCTAAGCAAATCATTTATATCCCCTCCTTTCATGGTTCCTGCAGGCAATTGCACTCTATTAATTGCACACTTCCTATTGTTTCCCATCCTTCTGCAGCACTTTGTGTGAGCTTCTGACCATGTGCTCATTCACTAAAAGAAGAGGTCCTCCTGCTGCTCACGCTTCTATTTGTTTGATTCTGTAAGATGATTGCTGAATAGGAAATAAACTAACTGCAAAAATGGGGAAGTCAATATGACTTGAAATACTGTAACAACAAGACTTTGCTGTGCTCTCCCTTTAGTGCTGAGTACCCAGAGGAAAACTGTTTTCTGCTGAAAGCACTCAGACTGGCCCAAAATAGGGACCTAAATGGTTATCAGTTACAAAGGTAAGAATTGATTTTTTCTTGTTAGTCTTCATTTTATGGGAGGGCATTCACTAGAAAGTGTTCAGAGATCTGTGCCAGTTAGCCTCTGAAGATTAGTATTTGCTGTGCTTTTTGCCTTCTATGTGATATTTTGTACCCTTCCTAGTGACATCACAACTATAGACTCTTCATCATTGACAGAACATAATCAATTATTGATTCTTTCTGATTTTGTTTTTATCTTCAAGGACTAGATTTTCTCCTTGATCCATTTACCCTTTTCATACTACATGTTATCTACTGGCCTTATGCACACCTCTGCAGTGTTAGCTCTTCATTTTCAATTTTAGATTCTGAAGGCCAGGTCATTTGCACAAGTAGACGTAATCTAAAGTTTTACAGAGAAAAAGTTAATCTCAATGAAGCTACACTGAGTCAGAATAACTAAATGATTTGTTTGGAGCTGGCTGGAGGCAGAGTAGGGAGCACCTTTATCGTCTAGGGTCATCTTCAGACATTTGTTACTTCTAAAACTCTCCTGATAAGGTTTTAGACCATCATCTTAAGAACCTGATACAGTTACTTGTAGATATTTCTAAACAAAAGTTCTTTCTGACATGAAATTATATAACTATAAATCTTCCCTTGCTGTCATTTTTTGCCATTTTCTAACATTGAGAGACCTAAAGCAATTCTCCCTGCTTTAGAATCTCTGAAGTGAAAAATGAAATGCGTTAAATCTACATTATAAGTATATACTTTTGGAATTACATCGTTGCTATGGCAATACACAATCTTAAGTCTTAAGTGGATACTGGATGTATCCAATGCCATTCACGTGACAGTATGATTTTCTTGGAATTATGACCCTTGGTACCTCCAGCATTATACACCTCAGTGCGATGTGAGGAACATAGTAGGACATTGTGTTTGTCTCTTCTGTGGACGTGGTCTACTAACAGACCTGAAAAAGGCTGAGAGCAACTTGATTGCATAGAATCTACACGTGCAGGAGAGCAGGTGTGTAACATTGCCAGCCTCTCAGTGCTGGTCCAAGGTGCAGACCTCAGATGTGACTTTCATGTCCCAAGGCCACCTGGTGCAGCAAGGCTTGGAGAGAAAATCTCTATCTGAAAAAGAGCAGCTCTGTCCAAACTTCCTAGTAGGAATGATCCCTGACCAGTGTTAATTCCTGTGACTTTACAGCATCTTGGCAAGTTGTAGTTGGCCTGAGCCAAAAGTGTGTAGAGACTGCATAAATAATTAGACAATATGGGCAGTCAGAGGGCCAGTTTGGTTTGCTGGTGCAGATGGAAGTACTGTGTCTGAGCAACTTTCCCAACTTTCCTACCTTTTGTTTTGATCAGGTAGGATCTTGGATCTGCATCAATGCACACTTTGCCCCTCCTCTGCTTGCCTGTGCTGATCAAGCACAGAGAAGCATGAAAATAATTTCTGCAGCACGTTACCTTTAAATAGAATAGCTATTTGGGGGTTAAATAATGTATCGATATTGTTGCAAGCAAAACCAATTTAAACACCATGCTCTCAAGATAATTTTTTTTTTTTTTTTTTTTTTTTTTTTTTAATGGAAAGAAGTTACCATCTCTCATGCTTTTCTAATCTTTCAAACTTGTGCCTATGTTCTGATATCCATAGGTCCTTCCAAGGGCTGTCTTTGCAAGCAAAGTTTCAATGTGTGTTCTAATTTTCAGGAAGCCGTTGTACAGCTGAGATTTCATATCATTCTGGGGTTTCTGCTTTTTTAAAAATAAAATAAATTCTGGAAGTATCACACAAAGAAAGCTCATGGAAAGTGAGTTTGTAGTTCTTCAGCTCTCTGAATTCTTCTCAGTTTGCTGGAAAGAACATGGAAGTATTTTCAAATTTTTACTGCTGAAAATGGTTATTGTTATTATGTCCACACTTACTAGGCTTTATAGGGCTTTGTCCATTTCTTCTGTAATTCTTCAGTACTGAAATAAGTTCTGAGGCTGAACATCATTCCTGTCAATGGATTGTGTGTATGTGCGTGTGTGTGTGTACGAAAGGTGGATATGATTTATCTCAGGAGGTACCGTGCTTATTGGAAAGGGTTGCCTGGCTCTCAGAGGTTGTGTGAACCTTGAAAACCTTGAAAAATCAGCTGCAAGGTCCTTTATCCTTAATTTTTTAAATGTGCTTAGATCTTCCAGAAACATACTTTCTATGGAGAGATGACATTGATAATGCTATTGTCATTTTGCTTTTATACTGTAGTGATGCAAATGAGAACCTGAACAGGTTTACTTACCTGGCAGTGTTATGGTACACTGTAGGCAGTACATGCAGTGTGGTTCAGATCATTTCAGCATGCACTCCTATGATTTACTGCAGTTGCACTTGTCCTTGTGGTGTCAGTACTATGGAGTTTGTGGTCAATTTTGGAAGCATTAATGTTGGGTAAGCAGTGAAGATGGACAGCAGACATGGCAGCGGGCAAAGAGGAATCCTCCTGCCAACACTTGCACTGGTGTCCCTCCAATGCTACATACCCATCACATAGTCTTGCTCTTTTCCAATGAAGACTCTTGAAACTGCTTGATTTTCAGGATCAATTCATGCTGAATCAGTGGGTGAATCAGCTCCAGAATGACTGACACACCAACAGAAATGATGTGACAGAGGCAGAGAGATGTAGGGCAGGATGGTTCAAACTGAGCAGCAGCTTTACAACAGCACTGTGTGCAGGTGGTAAGAGGGAATTTCTTTCTGTAACCACTTGTGTTCCAGCTGGCATCTGCCAGACCAGAGAGAAGCACAAACACCTGACCACGTAAACTCTCCTTCAGCATAAAGATCTGTCATTCTTTGTTGTTGTTATATTGTCCCACCAGGCACAGACATTTTCTCTCATTAACCTCATTATCTCACCTTTGTCCAACCTGTTCTCCTGAAGAGCTTGTAGTTTTCCCTGCAGATTTCCCTACAGAAGGCCATTCTAATTGCAGTTTTGCTGCAAACAGTGCAATTTATGTGTCTGCAGATATTTCCTCATGTTGACTGTATGTTAGAAAACCTTCCCTCCAATGTGATGAGGTCTACATGTAGAAGGTGAGAGTGAGTACAGGGGGACAGGTGTAAATGTGTGATAGCATTTTAATTATGGCAACTACAGTTGATACAAGCAAGATTTAAAACGAAGTTTTATGGTTATTTCATAAACTTAGGAATGTACTGAGGATTTATAATGGAAAAATGGATTCAACCAGTATTTAAGGAATATCTAGGGCTATGATGGGGTGTAGTCCAAAGCATGTGCTGTTTGTGCTGGGCTGCAGGTAGGGCTTGTTAATGAGGAGCACTTGCACTGTGCTATGGAAAGGAAAGACATGGCTGGTGTGTTTGTGATCCTCTTCTACTGTCTGCCTCTGAGGATGGTCAAAACCTTTAAGTACTTAGGGTCATATATTCAAAGGTATTTAGGTGCCCATTAGTCTGTGAAATCAGTAATTTAAATGCCTGCATCTCTGAAAATGTGGCTGTTGGCAGCCGGATGGACAGGATTGAACATGGGAAAAATAATGTGAACTCTCATAGCAATCACAATATTGCTTGTCCATGAGATGTCTGCTTTTGCTTCCCAAGTTTAAAACAATATGAAGAGCAAAACCATGATGCCTTACTGGGGATCTGGTGACATTGTTACCCAGCAGTTTCATTTCTGGGTCTGCTTCCTTCCATAGCATTCTGTAGGGATGTATGGGACAGTTACATGTCACAGAATCATAGAATGGGTTGGGTTGGAAGGGACCTTAATGCCCATTCAGTCCCAACCCCCTGCTGTGGGCAGAGCTGCCCCCCACCAGCTCAGGCTGCCCAGGGCCCCATTCAGCCCAACCCTGAGCCCTCCAGGGGTAGGGCACTCACTGCTTCTCTAAGCATTAAAGAAGAGTCTTCATATCTTTACCTGTATGATTTTAGAGTGATGACTGCAGATCGTACACCTGAATTTGTATCTGCTAATTCCTGAGACTTCCATGAGAAGGAAAATAAATCTGAGCTGTATGTTTCTCCAAGAGATAGCCATCGCATTTCAATTTTTCTCAGGGGATAAGGAGAATTCTATGGAAAACACTGCTCCCTCATCCCCACTACTTATAAATCATGTTATTTTAGGATCTCCTGAGGTTTGTTCGCAGTGATTACAGCGTACATTCTGTGAACACATGGATGCACAGCTTTGAACCCAGCAAAAATCTGCGTTTAAACGATGTGAGCAAAGATGTGGGGCAGCTGCAGGGCAGACTGGGTGTGATTGCCGACTATGGACACCCGTAATGTGGGAAGGAGGTTGCTAAGGGGAGAAGAGCCACTTTTATAACCAAAACTTGTAGTCTGATCCGGAATGCTCGTCCCTAAGCAGATGAAAGCCAAGGGCTGTTTTAAGGCAGAGACCTCGCGCTTGCATTTGCTGCCCAGAGTTCAGCCCTGAGAGCGGAGCATCGCCACGGTGCAGCGCCTTTGCAACCCCTTTCGTTTCTCGATACTCTGTAACACGAAAATCGTTTGCCTGAAGGGTGCGATCTGCCCCTATCCCTCGGCTGCCTTTCACGTCGGCAGGCTTCTGGGGCGGGCAGGAGTGGGAAAATGCCGTCCGGGAGCGGAGCGGAGCGGGGCCCTCCTGGCGCGGCTTCCCGGGCAGAGCCCCGTTCCTCGCTCACGCGGAGGGGCTGCCGGAGGAAAGTTGGGCTTTTCGCTCTCTCTGCACTTCCTGTGGAGCCGCCCGAGGCTTTCGGTAGCGCCCGGGCACCTCCTCCCGCCCCACGGGGCTCCCGCCCGCCTCAGCTCGGCGCTGGGCTCCGCGGAGCTCCGTGCGGAGCGGCCCGGGCCCGGCAGCCCGCCTTACGCAGCCCTCCGACCTCGGCCCTTTGGATTTGTATTTAATTATTATTAATAATAATCATTTAGGAGTTAATTTCTTATAAGGAGAGCGCGAGAGAAGGGAAGAAAACTTTCTTACCTTACCCCCTTCCCGCCCCCCCCCCAAGGACACTCCGGATACTTTTGAAAGGGCGGAAGGGTGAGAAGCAAAGCGAGCAGCGCTGCTAAGGGCATCTCTCGCTGCAGAAGGGACCCCTGACACCTCGCTGCTGGATTAAAGGCTGGAGCTGCAGAAACTCCTCCCCTTCCCCCCTGCTTCTTCCACCCCCCCCCTTATTTCCTAAGACCATTAAAAAAAAAAAAAAAGAAAAAAGAAATTAAAGAGCACGGAGTGACTGCGGCCGATGGGACGGTGGGGATAAGTGGAAGAGAGCCCACCTCTCCGGGCCGGGATGGGCAGCACTGCCATGGACACCAAGAAGAAGGACTCATCCGGCAGCGGCAGGAGAGGCTCCAGCCAGAAGAAGCTCGTGCTGCGAGTGCACATCCCCGTAAGTGGCTCTCTGCTCTCCCTCCCCTTGGCAGCCAACGGCGTTGTTTTTCCTGACACGGGGCTGGAGGCACGGAACGGTGTTTCTGCTGCGGGTACCGCGGTCTGGAGGTGGGGGTGTTGATCCCAGCATCCTCGCTTGTGGATCTGGAAAGTGTCCGTGCCTTGTGGTTGACGGAGTGCATTTTATCCAACGGTTCCGTGTCTCAGATCCAATCCACATCTGAATCTCCCCCGGCACGAGGACCCAGAGCTCTCTTTGATTTTGTCCCACACGATGTGTTTGTTGCTGAAGAGTCAGGAGCAGTTGTATGGCCGCGCTGGAACAGAGAAGTGAGCCATGCACTCGTGCCCCAACTTGGTTTTGGGTCGTATGTTCACGCAGTAAGGAAACATGCAAGAATTTGTACTATATATGTACCAAATAATCTCAGACTAGAAGTTTCTGTTCCCAATGAGTACTCAGAGGCTGCCTCATTATGTGAGCCTGCAGAGTTTACATCCCTTTTGATTATTGCTTTTTTGTTGTTTGCTTGCTTTTGTTATTATTTTACTATCAGGGCCTTCTTGTTATCTATTTAGTTGTTTTATTCTTAGTACATGGTTTTGCTTCCAGTGCTTCTTGCAAGAAATGTCTGATATCTTTTTCTGTGCACTCTGTTTCTTTGTTGAATATATTTTTTTCATTTAATTTCATCATATAAAAGTGGGAAACAGTCCTGCACATGTGTCTGCCAGGACACTAAGGAGCAAAAACATATTTGTAAGTTTTTCCTTTCTTTTAGAGAGAAACAAGAAGTGAAAAGAAGTGCATTAGATCTTAAGCGTATGGAATAAGATGGAGGAACAACTCATGGCTCTTCTGCAGATTTCGTTTTTCTCTAGAGACGAATGCAAGCCCAGGAGCCTAAGCCAAATTTCTGCTGCTCTGTTTGAGTGCACTCAGTGCTGGGAGAGATGGGTCTAATGTGCTGCTGCTGTATGTTTGTGATGGGAGTTTTTGAGCATTGATCTTTGTCATGTAGTACTTCGCAGTGAGGTTCCTTAAGCCTATAGGCATATTTCTTCACAAGTGTTACTTCAGCTCTGTCTTGGATGAACATCGTTAGTCCTGGACCTTAATTTTTCATGTTACTTTATGGTTTCATTTCTTTGCTCTCCAGTTTGTCATTTAGCTAGTGGTGGTTACTCAGACACAAGCCTGATATTGCACCGAAGCCCACATGAGTTTTATTGTTCACCCAGTTGAGAGCAGTTCAAGACTTGGTAACAAGCCTTCCATCCCTCCTTCCTGTCCTCCAAATGTGATCCTTCTGTTCCATTCTGCATTATTTTATCATTCCCAAAGTGAGCTATTGGGCCCAGATCCTTATAGGTAGTACCTTCCTTTTTGGTGGTTTTCTGTTATCTGGCAGTTTAAGTGTGACTGTGCTGTAAGAAAGAACATTTTTGTCATTCTCCTCATTTGACAGTGGAATCTGCATTTGAAAAGATCCATTTAGACTGTTTTTTTTTCTCTTTCATAACGTTTTCTTGGCTGTTGTTTTGAAGCATCATTCCTGTTATTTCAGCGGCGCCTGTCAGTGTAGCTGTAGTTGTCAAGGAAGCTTTCACCAGACAGTAATTTTTATTTTGTTCATCCTCTTCTTTGTTTTGCTGTGAGATCGTGTTTATTGCTGAGACATGTAATTCCTGCTCATTGAGATCTTCAAATTAGAAATGGGAAAGGTCTGAACAGGAAGAGAGAGAGGAGTCAGTTGCAGCAAGACAGAAAGGTGCTGTTGTGATGCAGGCTGTCCTAAAGCATCTTTATTAACCCTGTAGAAATTCTGACTTTGAAAGCGATGACAAATACTGTGAAAAAGAAAGGTGAATAATGCAAAATGCACTGCGTTTGGGCTTGTGGAATTGTAGGAATAGTAGGCATGTCTGAAATAAGAACTTGTATGTTTTCCATCCCTCTCCCACGCAATCTTATTTTTTTTTTGGTTGGCCTCTGACAATGGGAAAAAATACCAATTTAAGAAAGCTGGTTTTGTGTCTTGCAGCACCCCAGGACATTTCTCAGGTACATCCTTCTTGAGCAAGGGCATCACAATATTATAAAAAAAAGTATAAACCAGTCTATTTTTGCTTTCTTTCTGTGTTGAATCTCCTTTGGGACAAGTCAGTGGTGCCCAGGCTTTGCTTCTGGGAATAGCGGTAGACCTCTAAGTTTCTGCTAGTTGAGTCTTCTCTACTTGTCATTTGGTAACCAAGAGTAAAGTGGGGGACTCAGTGTTCTGGTGGCAAGGCAGGGAAGTATTTGCTGAAGTGCTGGACTGATTGAACAACTTTTTAGTTCCTTTGTTGTTTTCTTTGCAAATGCACAACTACCAACTGCAGATTCGGATGGACCATAATATGACCTCTGCCTTTCCCAGCAGTGTATTTTAAAGCTTTGAATTTAGAAATGCCTAAGTGGAAATTTCTGATCCATTGCCATTGAAATCCGCTACAGATTTGGATACAACTCCTTGCTCTCTAGATGTATCACATCTTTCAGATGAAGAAAGGCATTAGCATTATAGAATTCCTTTTTAAGCTATTAGAAGATAATGCTTCCACATTGCTTTGAACGTTTTAAGAACTCTAAGATGGGATACAATTGTCTACTGAGTAGGAAGGAGCTCACCATAGTGAGATCAGCATGTTCTTTTGTCATCTTGCAAAATCGATCTGTTCTGATGTTAATATTATCATTCTAATCCTGTGTTGCTATAAAAAGGAGAGATTCTGCTCTTGCTTGCTTTCTATTACAGCTGGGATAGTTCAGTCAGTGCCAACAAAGTTCTGTTGTGTTTACACTATTGTGGCTGAGAGCAGAACATGTCTCAAGAGCCTCACCATGACAAGCTCCAAGCACCTGCTGCTCCTGGCAGGTGAGAATTGCAGAGCTTTGGCACTTCCTTGGTTTGTACCC